CCTCCCCTCCCCACCCCCATGTTAACTGTAGCCTGATTCATTTACTTATGGAATCCTGACGCTTTGGAAAAAGAAAACAGGAGAGCTTCGAATACTTGGCCCCAGCTTCCAATGACCGCATCAGGGGCCAGGTGATGCCTAGCTCGAGGCCCTGGATGAATGCACTAGGCTGCTGATCAAAAAGCCCCAGGGTAAGGTTCACCCAGAAGTCCCTTGGAAGAAAGTCCTGGTGATCTGCCTCTGTTAGTGGGTGGGGAGGGAGGTCAGCCCCTAAGAACTTCATGGAGCACCACCCATGAGTCCGAATCAACTCCACAGGACTGGTTAGCTCACGCCACCGGTTCCTCAACTCCTGGGTCTTGAGACATCACCTGAGGCCAGAATGAAAGCAAGCATTCCAAAGCCAAATCCTCCTTAGCTATTCCTTCGTGCCCAAGGTGCCTTTGAGAGCGCCCAGTCTAGCAAAGAGGTTCTTTAAGAGGACAGGAGATAAGACAAAGGAAGTGCGAACTAGCCTCCCTGCGCAAGCCCCGTCTGATCCAAAAGCTCCATGCCCGTGTGACCCGCAAATCCAAACTCAGGATGGCCAGGACCAGTACGCAGGGCGACCGCTCAAGCAAAACACACACATAAGCAGGCATTAGATGACGACGGAGAAGCTAATAAGGAAAAATATGTTTGCCAATGGCTTCCTCTTTGCTCAGAAACAAGTTGGTTGGCAATTTAATCTGCCTTGGCTCTGATAGGGGGCAGACGTTACTGCTGGGAGGAGATGGGTAGCCAGGCTAACCAGGAAGCCGGCCAGCCAATCTCCTGCCAGCCTCAGAGACTGCTGAGTTCCTGTCCAAACTAGTCTTCCTGGGGCCTCGACTGCCTCACGCACCACCCAGATCCGGATGAAGAACAGGGAACCCACTTTTCTGGATTATAAAGGCAGTGAAAACTGCTTGCATTCAGCTGCAAACCGCCACCCAGCCTGGCAATCTGCTCCCATTAAGATTGAAAATTGGGCCCCATTGCGTGGTGTCTACGCCAAATTTGTAGCCCTCTAATGACACAGTGGATCTGCCCCATAAGATCACCAGGGCTGTCAGTCTTTGTGGAAACAGATGGTCACATCTTTCTCCATCAAAGCAGCCGGTGGGCTCAAACTACCAACCTTTCAGCTACTGGGGGAGGGCTTCACCACTTTGCCACTGGTGTCCCTCCCATGACAGTACAGAAAATCCTGTAACACAAGGCGTGGTCGCCAAGAGTTGGAATCCAACAACTAACAGTTCTCTGGAGGATAAAAGTCCATGTCTCTGGAGCAAAGAAGACGGAAGAAAATCAAAGACACAAAGAGGCAATTAGCCCAAAGTACTCATGGGCCATGTGAACCCAGCCTCCATGGCCCTGAGACTCTGAGCACTAGATGGTGCCCAGCCCCCCGATCCCCTCACTGTGCTGAGCAGGATCACAACGGAGGTCCTGGATGACATAGAAGAGCGACGTGAAACAAAACTCAACATCGGGAAAAGAACCAAGCTCACTGCTCTGACAGGGGTGGGTAGAACCTTCAAAGCCATGGCCCCCAGACACCCTTCGTGTCTAGATGCGAACTTACCCCCATGGCTCAACTTTCAGCCACGTGATGGACAGGCCTGTCAGATCAGCAGTCACACCAGGGAGGTGCGCACTCCTTAAAACAATTAGTCATCCATCACCAGGGCAGCATTTGCCCAAAGTGAACAGCTCAGAAAGCAGGAAGGAAGGGGAAGGAAAGGGGGCAGCCCAGCGAGGAGGGGGGACAGTGCATTCCACTGTAAGGATAGCCATCCGTTTCACAAAGCAAACTGTGAGTCGTTGATAGAAAAATGACTTGCTCTGTAAACTATCACCCCAGTCGCAAGTTCACAGTGGGGAGAGGGTGGCTACAAAACTAAAAAGGTCTTTGTCATGGGAATTCCAAGGTCATACCCGGCCTCCCTAAGAAGCCCACTGCTGGCAAGTCCATTCTGAATCAATACATTCCCATCCCGGGTCCAAGGCTGTGGGTCTGCAGGCGAGCAGGGTTAAACACAGCCAGACTCAGCAGCAGGGCGTTCAGGTCTGTGAACACTCGCCCCCTCACACCCACGCTGAGCCTCCACCAGTATCATAAACAGACACCTTTCTGAAGCAGAACCAGCCCATCAGTGACTCAGCGAGAGTGGGGAAGCTGTTCTTACCATGACCGCTAGTTGCTGACCTCCCAGAAAACAGGCTGAGTCAGCTGACAGCTCCTGTACTTCTCCAAGGCAATGCTCAGAGAAATATTTGTAATGCAATGAAAGGGAGGCAGAGGGTGGTGTAAGATATGAAAAGAATAATTTTTAATGTATCAAAGGTTCACGAAATGGGGAAAAAAGAAGCGCTGATACCAAGGGCTCAAGTAGAAAGAAAGTGTTTTGAAAAGGATGATGGCAACATATGTACAAATGTGCTTGATACAATGGGTGTATGGATTGTTATGCGAGCTGTAAGAGCCCCCAGTAAAATGATTTATTTAAATAAATAAGCAAAAGAAGGGAAAAAATGAAGAAGCTTTGTGCCATGATTTGCCTCAGCATTAGTGAGATGCTCATGGACCGCTCTCTCCAGTGCTTAGCCCAGGGCCTGTCATGTGGGGGTGGAGGAAGTGGTGGTGGTGGTGCTGAAGGTGCTGATTGATGGTGGTGGTAGTGATGAAGG